ATGGTACGAATTAACAACTCTATAAAAATTGCCTCAACTGCGGCGCTACATGTTCCAGTTCCTGTATCTTTCGCTGTTCCTGTTGACGTTAGAGAACCGTAAACATCAGAACCAACTGATGTCATGCCTAACTTACAATATTTGTCCGTTGCTGCCTAGATGATCCACGTCAACTCCTTGACTGACTGATACATCCGAATGTGCAATGTCTACACGTTCTAGTAAGTTGACCTGTCCGTCTGTTACTTTCATCTTTGGCGTTGATGATTCTAACCCCATTGTAACATCTATGTCTCCGACATCGCTGTCTTGAATGATTTATACTGTGTGTCCAGTACTTCTTTAAACTCACTGCTGTTCTGAAACATGAAAGCGTCCCCAATTAGTGACATCCGCCTTCCCAAGAATGTTACCAATGCTGCTAAATTTGTGATTGTTCATAACTGTTCTATTAATAATTGTAATTCGGGGTCGTTTAGTTGTAATGCTGTTGTTCCTGTTGTGAGGTCAGATGTTCTATCCGTCTGTATATTTCCTCTGCTGATATTGCATTTTACTTGTTGCTAGCGTCTGCTGTTTGGTATAATCTTGAGTTCGTGTTTAATAGTGGTTCTCTCACTAACGTTGGATTCTAGTTGTACTACAGGTTACGCCACGTTCCAGACCTTGAAGGCTATCACTGCCAAAACTCAACTAGACTCAAGCCTAGCTCGCTCGTTTTGGGCTGCTATGGTTACTGTTGTAGAGTCTGCTTCTTTATTAGATTGAAGACTCAAATTGATTTCAAGACAAGTAAGGATGTTTAATGATTCATTAGCGTATGTCCTTTGATGCATCTTCACATCCGTATCTAGATGCTCCTGTCGTCGTCCAAAAATGAGTTTTTGCGTTCAATACGGGTGCTTGCAGTGTCCCACCCACATACTGTTCAGAAAGCGAGGCTTTTCCAGGCGCCTTTAACTAGGACTGTGCTTTTTGTCGGCATGTACCTTCCCCCTCTTCTACCCTACTCCAGTGCTAGATAGAGCCTGGCTAGCTTTCGCTGGCCTCGGCTCGCCCCTCAAGTCATCATCATTGCAGACCTCATGGTTCCTTATTGGTTCAACCAATTGGGAGGAGAAGCAAAAATCGTTGGCCTCGATCGAGCAGGCCTTTGCAGCCATCAAGCAAACAGCGAGCCCTGGTGGCACACATCTAAGGGTCTCCGAAAAGGGGTACAGTAACCTTGAGAAAGGCCCCAGGTTCGATGAATCAGGCCCCCTCTGTTCTGTCCGACACAGATGCTTCAGTGCATGAATCCTTTTTGCTGGCACCATGTCGTTGCGGACTGGTTTCCGTGATCTTCTAGTTTGGAGTAGCATTGCATGGGTTTGGCGCATGCCCGCAATTCTCTCAGTCCCCTGCCCTGGCTCATACAATGTAGTTGATGAGGTTGCATGAAGACGTGGTCGCGACGCCGACACCGACAGAGGTGCCCTCATCGAGCTCTTCCAGATACTTGGTCGAACTTTGTAAATGCATCAACACTGGAATCAAGTTGCCCATCTGCAGCGGTTCTAGCATTTCAAGGTGAAAACAGCAAGGCGGAGGATGCCACGGCGAAAGAGCCCGAAAAAAAGGGCTCTTCGCCGGAGACGGCGCCGCCAGAGAAGAAGCAGTTCCAGGCAGCTTCATATCCCGCGGTCAAGCCTAGGTTACAGGTTTGCGCCGGCTAATGAACGAACTTATCTCAAAAAGCATGCCGGGACGTGCTTGCCGTGGTGACCCCCTGCCTGAGAATCAATCGTGCCTATCTTACAGTACCGTTGCTAGCGCTGCGCAGCGAGCCTGCCCGATGCTCGCGTCATCCAAGTGCTTCAGTTTAGTATTTTTGATGCTCAGCGAGGTTCAAGCTTGTAGCGACTGTGATGCCAACTTTGACAGATGCAGTAATCGGAGCTGTGCAATAATATGGCCCCCCCAACTACAATCATGAGCAATTAGCAAGCAGACTTCTGGAGAATAACTCCAGAGCTTTTTTTTCCTGTCACTCTAGGGGTTTTCTATATAGGAGTAGGGAGACCCTCTCACGCAAGCTCCGAAAAGGAATAGCTCAGGAAGCAAGGTTGGAGCCTCTGATTCCATACTTGAGTGAGCAAATCAGGTTTTAGAATCAGGTTTCCTATTCTCATTTTCACAGCAGCCACGTAAGTGAGACGCCCTCAACCCCCATACTTTAAACCTTTTACAGTGAGCTCATGAATCCAATCAGAAATCAGCAATAGGCTACTTAACGTCATTTGTAACTCAATCCACATCTGATTAACATCAATCAAAAGTCAATCGAAGAATACTGCCTATTGTCTTCCTAATGTATGCAAAGAAATTTCTTTAAATCTAGGGTGTTTTCTGTCCCAAAAATGTCTCTGCCTCTGCAGTTTCCTTTGACCCTCCAAGACTGAGCCAAAACAATTTCTTTGGATCTATTCCTTTTGAGCTCGGATTGGTGACAGCGGCATGTTGATTGTCTCGCAGGGCCAGAAGCGCCATAGAAGCAGCAGCAGCCGAAGCAAGAGAAGGAGAAGAAGCTCCAGGACTGATCCCAATCATCGTTGAGCCTCACAAAAGGAGCCCCAAGAACAGGTACTTCGGGTTTAGGACTATGGATTTGCACATTTGGGTATACTGTCCTTGCTTGCGGGGTAGCTTTAATTAGCTGCCATTGCTTCTGCATCTCTTGCCCGTGTCACTGCTGAGAAAGAAGTCCGAACATGTCCAGGAGCGGCCGCGGGAGGCGCGCAAGGGCCAGGAGGCGCTCCAGAAGCTAGGACAGCTGCGCTGGCTGTCCGAAAAGAGTGGAGCAGTTCTTGGCCCCCATGGGATGTCCCATTTTCAGACATGGGGATTATGCAGTTTCCGAACAATGAGGTGACTCATACCTGGGATGATGCTGTGCTTCCCTGGAAGCTTTGGCGGAATGGCTAATTTCGTATCGGTGGTGGATGTATAACCCTAAACCCTAAAAATGGCTTCCATTTTCTTTTCCATTATCCCTATATAACCTCTGTGTAACCCTATTATAATGTAGCAGTTTCCATTTTCTTTTCCATTATCCCTAAA